TAAACAATTCCCAGGAAAAATGATTTCACTGTCAAAAACAGGAATGCACTGGGAGTGCAGCTTAGGAAGTGGCTTAGTCCACCTCCTGGAAGGGGAGTTGTGATGAAAACAGGGTGCAATCAAATAAGGTTGGGATTGCAGAACATGGTTCCGGGGGACACACACTGGGTCTGGCTGAAGCTCCAGGGCAGGGGGCACGCAGGGCTTACTGGGGCCATGTTGGGACTGCAGCCCCTGTGATGGAGCCCAGCCCGGCAGTCCCCATGAGTGCACTCACTGTTTCCTCTGCCTGGTCTGCAGGTGTGGTACCTCAGCCCATGACGAACGGATCTGCACAGATGCAGGTGAGTCCCTACCTGCTCCTGGGTTGCCTCAGAGCAGAGGGAACCTCCGAGCACTGCCGAGGTTCATTGAGCTCAATTAGCCGCTGCTGGCTAATTAGAATTGCGTCCTGCTGTAGCTTTAATTTCAGGCTTGCACAAGGCTGGGCTCAGCCCCTTTTGTGCCTTTTCCCCAGGAATGGCACCCTGCATGTGCCATCATCCCCGCAGGCACTGGAGTGCTGCACTGGGGGCTGGCTGTGAAGTTTGTCCCCACGTGGTTATTGGCTTTCATTGTTTCTGCCCCTGCACAACCTGAGCTAATGTTTCCATTTCCCACAGCTGAATGGAGGATCCACATCTTCATCTCACAGTGACCTTCAGAGTCCTGGGAAGGAATCTGAGGTAAAAACCCCAAACACATGCTGCCTTCTTTTCCCATACACATGTACATGTTTATGCCATGGTAAAAACACATTTACATGCAATTTCGGTTTCAAATTGTAGGCTTAGGAACGCCTGCATCCACCCAGCAATCAATACAGGGAGTTCTGTCATGCCTTGCCCCGTAAATCTGTGTGAGGTGCAGCCGTGAATGATTGCATTCCTTCCCCTTCACCAGGGGTGAAGATGTGCAGTACCACATGGCTGTGCTCCCAGCAGTGCTCTGCAGCAGGGATGCACCCCCTGAGCACCCGGAGCTGGCCGGGCAGGGGGGGCTGTGAGCAGCAGCTGCGTTCAGGGCAGAGTCAGGCGCTTGCAGGCTGGCAGCTCCGTTTTGCTCTGAGCATTAAATAATGCATGGCCCAATTGCACAGTGCATGTGAACCGGTTTGCATCTGCGAGCCAGAGCAGAAAGCACCGTCTGTGTATGCATTAGGGTAGCAATGCCAGAGAGCAGGACAGCCTTTAAGATGTTAAAAGTGAAGGTCTTTGTTTTTTGTGTTTGCCTGCTGTGCTTATGTGAGCATGGTGCATGCAAAGCACTGCACTAGGGCACTTCTGCAGGCATAAAGACCAGGAGTTGTATCGTGTGCCAAAACCATGGCACAGATGTGGTGCTGTTGCAGGAGCTTCACATTGCAGCTGCTCTGGTGCTCACCTACTGAAAGTAGCTCTGGTGCAGCACCCAGCAGGGTCAGTCCTTCTTTGCCCTGTAGACCCCAAGGAAAGGTGAGGGCTGGGATAACTCAGTGCTGTGTGTTTAGCACAAAGCATTTCGGCTTGCGAATTAACTGTACCCCAGGTACAATGTGTTTGTCAAATTTAACCTATTACAGGAATTAGACGGGCAATGGGGGCTTTTGGCTTGAGGGCACGTTGCAGCAGTGGCAGTGACTTTAGAAAGTCACTGATTTTCTTCCCATAAAGCTCTTCTATCAGGCAGATAGAAAGCTGCACCCTTTTGTACAGTGCCCAAGGGAGAATGCACTGGGCAAGGCCAGGTGGGCAGGCAGGAGCCACTGGCTGCAGTGTAGTGATGAACTCTGTGGCCCTGCAGCTCCTGTGCTGGTTAAATCACAGACAGCACAGGGCAGGGGCTTTGACCTAGCACTGTGTGTGACGTAGAATATAGGATGATTGGGTTGGAAAGGACTTTGAAGATCATCCAGTTCCAATCCCCTGCTGCAGGCAGGGTAATTACTGCACTGATTTCCCAGCCTTGATCAGACGTAAGAGCCAGTGTTCCAGGTAAGGTGCCCAGAGAACACGTTCCTCATCCTTTGACATTAACAGAGCCTTGGGTGCACAAGGAGTGGATGCTACTCAGTGGTTCCAACAGCCAGAGTAACAATTCCAATAAGGTCATCTGCTGATTCCATCTGTCCCTCCCTGCAGGATGGAGACTCAGAGAAGAGGGACCCGTTTGAGGAGAGTGGGCTGAGCCTGAGCCCCACGGCAGCTGAGGCCAAGGAGAAGGTGAGGGCCAAGAGGGTGAAGAAGAGGGCTCCGCAGATGGACTGGAACAAGAAGAGGGAGATCTTCAGCAATTTCTGAGCCCTGCTGGAAGCAGTGCTCATTGCCCTGCCCGGACGTTTGGAGGTGCCCGCAGCTCTCCTGCAGTGTCCACGTGAGATGCTTTGTGCTCTGCTCTTCACTGGTTGCTTTTATGAAGCGTATTTTAAAGTCTTTTTTTTTTTTAATTGTTATTATTATTATTGTTATTATTATTATTGTTACTCACCAGCGATTCTCATAAGACAAATGTGACCAAAGCTCCTTTCCTTGCTCGCTTTCAGCCTGGATGGCTTCCCGCTGTCCCCATTCCTGCTGAGAAAGGACTGGAAGAGTTTCACTCTTGTTTCTTACCTGCGTTATTTAGGCTTTTGTTACTGTTTTTTATTTGGGGTGTTCTGGGTCTGCAGGTGTCCCAGGCTGAGCCCCATGGGATGTTCTGTGCTCCCGTGCAGATGGGGGCACCTCACCGTGGTGGAGGGCTGGCATGCCCCTCGTGATAGGAAAACAGACAGAGGCTGTGAATCACTCGCTAGCTTTGCTATGGGAATGAAAGTATTCTCATTGCTGTTGTTTTGAATGAAACCCCATCTGTTTCCAGTTAATGTAGGGACCTCCCTCCCCAGCAGTGACTCCTGTCCTGGCCCTGGCAACCCCTTTTCCACTTCTCAGTGCTGCAGAGGGGGATGCACAGACAGCACAAACCCAGTACCAGACGCCACCAACCTCACGAACTTCACAGTGTGAGAGATGCTGCAGGGCTGAGTGTGTCACTGCAGAGCCCTTGGGGTGGGCACACTGAGCCTGGCCCCACTCCCCCTGTGCTCCTTGGCCACAGGGTCAGCTATGGAGTAAACTCTGGTTAGGAGAGGTTTGATGTTGATGGGGCAATTGCTTTGGTTTTGTGTCCTCCTTTTAATACCAGGAATGTTTTCAAATCCTCCAAATGTAAAGCATGACAGCTGAAGTTGTTTTAAGCTCTTTATTGCTTGCCTTTGGCTGTGAAGGAGGAAAATGGAATGCAGTGCACCACAGAGAGTCTGGCTGTGAGGTCTGCTCCCCCCAGCAGCCCTGAGCTCCACTGTGTGCTGGCCGTGCAGCAGTGGGGAGGGACTGGGCATCTGGTAAAGCCACGTTCCCCAGCTGAATGCAAATGGGCAGCAATAACTTGGGTGTTGATGACTCATCTAAACAAAAGACGAGGCTGCGACTTCACTCTGTTACTCCCCAGAGCTGCTGTATTACAAGGTAGAGGCCTTTGGATTAGTCAGTGCACTATGGATATTGCCATGGCTCTGTGTTTCCTAAACACTGAACTAAAAGGTGCCTTATACCACGTGCTGCTCTCCTGGCTGCAGCGTAGGGCCAGTGCTTGGCTGCTGGCTGGAGGGAGCACGGAACCCTCAGGGGCAGAGGAAAGGATTTCTCTTTTATGAAAGTGCAAACTGTTGATGGGCTGAATAGGTTGGGAAAAAAAAAAAAAAAAGGAGAGGGTCTGGTGCAGGTGTTGGATTATTGAGGATGAGACTGGCAGCAGGATGATGGCTCAGGATAAGGGGAGATTTTTTTTTTCTTCCCCTCCAGGACTCTGCCATTAGCTACAGACCTCTTTCCTACCCCACTTCAAAGACGATTAGCTCCTCTCATTTTAGTCCCTGAAATATTTGCTTCTACAAGAACTAAGAAAGTACTGAAGGAGCCCCACATTTCCACGGTATGCACATTGTTCCCAGTGCCTGCATAGCCAAACCCCACAGTACTCTGCTCTGTGCAGGGCAGAGTGCTCCCCACTACACCAAGAACTTAATCTATGATGCACGTTAAGAGCAAAGACTCATTTGTAAATACCATGTTTCTCATACAAGACTGGACCACTGTAGTTAAGGGGGGAGGAAAAAGAAAGAACGTGTCGTTCTGAAAGCAGATCAAAAGAAATCAGGTGTGCAAATGCATACTGATAAGATTTTAAAATCTTAATCTCTGCTTAGTCCATGGAAATTGCTCCTGGTTAAAGCACTTATCGTATTTCTGACATCTTGTAGCTCAGTAGTAATTATTCAGTTCCTGTACATTTAACTTGGAAAAAAAAAATCAATAAAGTATAAGGCTGTTAGCTGTATTGTAAAAACATAATATACACTGTAATGTCAGTAATAAACTTTGTTTTCCCATGTACCACTTATTTGCTCATTCCTCATCTGTGTGGTGAGAACTTGAGGGTGGTATTACTGCCTTCTTTAGCACATTATAAACTTTGCTTCCTCCCTTGCCTGTTTAAAGTGTAGCTGAAATGATCCCTTTGAAGCTCTGCACTGAAGTCAGCGTTGCCCTTTCTTTGAAGAACAAAAAACACGCAGTGGTGGTGGTGGCCCTTGTGTCAGCTTCTGAGGTACGCACTAACCTGGATCCTGCAGCTACTGGAAACCCTGTCAGCAAATTCAAAGAGTGTGAAGCTGGCTTTGTTACCTGCTGCCATGCTGTGCCTCCCCCATGACTCCTCTGCAAGCAGAACTCAAAGGTCACTTGTTCAGACTGTGGCTGCCTCTGACCCTGGCTTGTGACATCTCTAGCTGGACCTTACTGACCATCGTTCTCACTGCCAGGGCCAGGCAGGAGACTAGCTGCCTGCTCTCAGCTGCTGGGCTGGTTGCTATGAGCTCACTGGTCACTGTGAGCTCTTCTTCCTCCACCCTGTGTTACAGAGATGCCAGCAAACCTCATGGGTAGAAAAAATAACCCACCACCTTTATTCAACACATATTTACAAGCAGCAGGAAGTTTTGCATTTCTCCAGCTGTTCCTGACACCGCACAGCCTGCTGCGCTGTTGGGGTGCACTCAAGCATTCACATGGGGGCTGGAGCTGGCAGCACTGATGCAGCAGGACTGCTGTGCTTTGAAGGACCCTTTTTCCTCTTGAGAGCTCAGCCACCAACAGCAGCTTCCACTCCCTAAGAACGCTAAGCTGGCTGCAGCAGCCTCCTGTTTCTCTACAGTCACACAGCCCCATGCAAAGCACAACATTCCTACCGCTTGGCTCTGGGTTGAAGTGGCCTTCTTACTCTACTCTTACAAGGCAGCCAGAATGAGCTCTCAGAATCTCTTAGCAGCAGGGCATATGTCTTGATTAAGGCATTCTTTGCAGCGAGGATTCACAGGCAGGCAGGTCTGCTGGCCAAAGCCCACCAAGAGCCAGTTGATCTCCCTCCAGAGATCCCTGCAGTGAGAGAGAGAGTGAGCTTTTCAGTGCAGCTGCTCAGAGGGGTTAAGCAGCCCATGTTATTACACCAATACCTTTTGCATATTTTCCCAAACCACCTGGAAGCTAAGGACAGCCCTAGCTCCTCTTGATCCCTCTGAAGTGTGGGGGATGTGGAAGGACCATCACATAAAGCACATGTGGTCATTTCTTTGTGCTAAGGCATGCGTCAGATGCGGAGATGTGACATTAGAATGTTCCACTTGTCAGTTGGTACTTGATACTGAAGCATCACTGAAGGTCAGAATCCAACCATGGCCTGCTACTTCTATGGCCATTAGGCTCAGCAGGGCTCCAAACAGAAAGGCACCTGGCTTGCATCATAATAAGTTTGTCTAGGAAAGCCAGTGTGGTATCAAGACCTCCAGGTACTTTCCTGAACTAGTGCTGACTGACACATTTAATAGCAAAGAAACCACTCAGTAGTTGAGATGCTGCCGAAACACCCTGAGAGCAGAGAGACATCTGCAGACGAGTTCATCCATAAGAAGGAAATCCACACTGCAGCCACTGAAAACGCAATAGGATTTATGCAGATGTGGCTCCTCTGTCTAGCACAAGGCAGAAGGAGGCTGGGGGCTCACACCTCACCTGGGCAGCCAGTCCTCCAGTGCTACCCGAGTTTCCTCAGGGTATCTGGTCTCCTTCTTCACCCACTTCAGCCTGTTTGTGATCCTGTGCACATGGGTGTCCACAGCTAGGAAGGGAGAGCCCAGAGTTTAGGTGGGAAACAAACATGCCTGAATGCAGAGAGCACAGCCAGGGCTGCCTGTCACAGCAAACCAGGTACAATGCCCTGCAATGGGCTTCCTTTGTAGCCCTGCAGGAATAGGGCAGGTGAAACACAAGGGGAAGCTCACTCACAATACAAACATGTTGGTTTCTTCCTAAGCTCAGAGCCAAAAGCAGACAGGGTGGGTATCTCATACCACACAGCTAGCAACACACTGACACAATCTTAGGCAGCCTTCCTACAAAGGTTTCCGCACTGTGATCTAGCAGGCACAGGGCAGCCTGTCCCAGGTTCTCTTCCTCCGGGTATTTCAGCTGCTGTTACGCAAGTTGCAATCTCTGCCCCTCAGTTTACCCAGATGGAAAACACATTTCATAATACCTACTAACACAAGAGGGTTTGTGAGGTTTAAACAAATGTTTATAAAGTGCTTTGAGCTAAAAAGCTCAGAATGCAAAGTATATTATTGTTAGATCAGCAGCGATAAACCTGTCTCTGTGGCTAATTGGGCAAAACCCAGGAAATTGCTGTAAACAGGAAGACTAAGCCTTGCCTCCTAAATCAAAACTGAACACGCAATTATTTGGAAAACAGTTGGCTAGTTTGGCTCCCAGTGGATTTCCCTCCCCCATAGCAGGGAGAGAACAACAGACCCTGAACACTGTTGAGCTCTCACACAAGAGCCACATTTTGCACAGCTGACAGTCACCAGTGGAGCTGCAGGGGTCAGCTGCTGCCCGCACTGACCTTGGGTTGTGGCAGTCATTCATCAGGTGGCACCACTATTGACTTTCCCAGGGCCCTCCATTAAGCAGCAAATTCACTTGGAATATTAATCCATCCCCAGAGTCCTTGGGTTGTGCTGATCTTCCAGCCCCATCTGCTGGCTCTGCAGGGCAGCCCTTTCTCTCTATAGTGTATCATGAACCACTGAACTGATTTCAAGCAATTGGCACTAGAGACTAAGCTACACTTCTACCCTCCTACCAGCTTGTAGAAGCAACCTACCAAGCCTCAGGTCACCCTAAAACTATCTGCAAATCACAAAATTATCTCTTTCACTTGAAACCAATGAAATTTCAAAGTTCTATTTTACTGACACGTTTTTGGATGCCTACCCAATTAAGCAATATTTGCTCTGCTTATCAGCATCTGAGCAGAAGGAGTGACTGCACTTGGGGATTTTTGCTTCAAATTTTGGGCAAAGCAGTAAATGGGTCCACGCAATACATCCACTTTGAATGGTTGAGGATTGCACCCTGCATCCACCCGAGCACAACATACACTCTGCACATGACTCAAGTGATGCTATTAGGTTTCCTTAGGGCAGGTAGCTTGCAACGAGCCCTCTCTGCTCAGGGATGGATCATGGAGGATTGAGGAACAGAGAAATGTGGAAAGCACGTTTTCAACCTACCTATCCCAGATACGCTGTTCCAAGCAATGTTCATGGCCAAATGGGCCATTTTGGGCCCAACTCCTGGCAGCTTCACCAACTCTTCCACAGTGCTTGGTATGTCACCCCCATAATTCTGCTTCAGGATGGCTGTTGTCTGCTTTATGTACTTTACCTTGTTCTGGAAAACCAAAGGGAAAAGCAGAAAAATCAAGTTGCCCTCCAATACAGAGGAAAGAAACAAAAACATTCCTTGGTGTGGGTTATGTGTGAGTCCATGTACTGGAGTTTGCAGAGAGGTGACAGAGATCTTAGATTTCTCTCTGAAAGCAAAATACTGAAAGCTGATTAGCTCTAACCTCCTCTGCACTCTGCAGGCACGGCAGCAAACAATCTTACTGTGAGTACAAATCGCTAAAACCAACATAAAAATAACAGCCTTCAGCTTGACTCCAGGGAAAAGATCACCACAGGGGATGGAATAAAAGCTGAACACAGTGGGAAGTCTCAGACACAGGGCTGATTCCCACCCACCTTCCGCCTTCAGCACTTACTTTCTGCACAGGTACTGACCATGAGATACAGCCTGCAAAGGCCAAGCCACCCTCCTTGTGTCCCTCTCCTGGGCTTCTAAGCAGTCCCAGACATAGGACTTTGCATGGGAACAGGGGAAGGTGGAGGAGGTTAATGCACACAAACGTTAATCCTGCACTTACTCTCCAGAATCCAACAGGATAAATGATTTGCCCAAGCGTTGCATCATCCATCTGCAAAATGCTGTCAACCGTGAGGCCACGCTGCCTCAGGCGGAGCATGGCAGCTGATGTCACCTGGTCCTTAGTCTGGCTAGAGAGCATCAGAGACAGCAGAACTTGGTAGCGCATAACCTGGGGGAAAGGAGACACCGAAAGGCTCTCTGAGATCCTTTTGCAGCTGGATTCTCCCACCCAGCACAACACTGCTGAGCCAGTCTGCGTGTTCCCTCTATGTCCCCCATGTCCCCAATGCACAAAGAGCAGAGCCCTGCACTGTGTCCTTGCCTTGCTTTGTTTTAGTACTGATGCAAATGCCCCCCTTCCCCACTGTTCCAATTCTGAGGGAACACACTGCCACTCCAGCAGGCCCCAATCCTTCAACCAGCATCCCCTTAAAGGAGAGCTGCAAGAAGGAAGAAAGCGAATTTGCACAACAGCAGGTTGGAGAGTTATCAGCTCTCTCACCTTCTCCCTGAACTGTTTTTCCTCTGTGCTACAGAGCCATCTTGATGAGCACTCTCCTTGGACTGCTGCAGAGACTTCTAAAGAAAGAAAGACATGCCTTCATGCCCTGCCAGCCAGCCCTGAAAGCACAGCCCTAATACATTGTTGAGGTTTCCGCTCTAAGTCCAAATTCATCTCATTTTTGCCTCATCCTCTGCTGTTGGTTCAAGCTGGCAACTCTCCGGTTTTAAGCAGAGGACGAGCTTATTTCAAAGCTGTGTTTGCTAGTTAGAATGGGCTAAATGGGAGCAGAGAACCCAGAACGACATCACAAGGACTGTCTGAAAGCACTGAGCCAAGCACAGGACAGCAAGCAGCTGCCTCTTCTCTACCCACAGGATAAGCCAGCTCCCCCCCACATGTACCTGTGCCATAACCTCCTGCACGACCGATCTCTGCCTTCAGACTGGATGCACTCTATATTTATTTTGCTGTTATGGAGATGCCCAAACCAGTACTATGCAGCCTAGTGATGCTCCTGGGACGCCATTACCTGCGGTGGTGCACTGGTGTCATAGCATTTATCCACTCCCATCTCATCCACGGGAGCATCTCGGTGCCTCCTCATCTCCCGGATGCGCTCCAGCTGCTGCCGCCAGTTCTCTGGCTCCCATGTGGGGCCAGGGGACTCAGGCCTGGGTTCAGCTTCATAAGCAATAGGGACTCTCCTTGTCCTCCTGCTGTACCTCGGGGCTGCACTGGGGACCCGGCCCCCTGCAAGAGGGAGATGTTCATGCCTGAAGCCAACACTTGCTGTCAGATACCATCACCTGCCCTACACCCAGTGTTCTGAGTGGAGACAAACACACATTCCCCATAACCTCAAACCAGCAGCAGTTCCTGTGCGGGCACAGCCGAAATCGGGAGCACCCAAGAGAGCAAAGAAGGCCCTTACAGAGAGGCAGTGTCCTCACAGACAGATAACAGCCCTTCAAAACCCATCCCAAGACCCCTCAACGACCCCAGCTGGGCTGCTGCTTTGAGAATGGCCCAGACCCCGCCCCCTACCCCGTCGGATACTCATCTAGGCCTAGCCCCTACCCCAACCCTAGCACTAATCCTGACCCTCACCCTAGCCCCACCCCGTACCTGCCCTCGCAGCTCCGAGCCTCCGAGCCGCCCGCCCACCGCCGCCAGGCGCAGCCGCGCACATGGCAGCAGCCCGGTACATCCGGGACTACCAATCCCAGAATGCCCTGCGAAGCAGAAGGCACCGGAAGTGTCTGGAGGGACTTCCGCCAGAGGCGGGGTCGGCGCGGCGCGTAGAGGGGCCGGGGCGGCGGGGCCGGGCCTGCGGCGGGTGAGCGGCCCCGGGCGCGGGGCTGCGGCCTATGGCTACCGCCTATGGCTGCCGCGGATCTCCGGGGTGCCGGGGAGCGGTTGGGGTGCGGGGTGCGGGGTGCTGGGTGTCTGGGTGCCTGCGGGGGCTGCTTGTGCTGTGTCCCCGGGACGCAGCGATGGGTTTCCTGACGTGGGGGGCGGAGTGCTGGGCTGACCCTTGGAGGGCAGGGTGCCCCGCTGTGCTGAAGGCCGTCATGCTTAACGTGCTGCGTGCTTTGTCGTGGAGTCGTGTAGCATCACCGGTTGAGTGGGACCCATGCACTGCTTTTGGGTTGGGAGTAATGGAAAGCGTGTTAGAAAGGCTCCCAGAGCCCCCCAGCCCCATGCCTCTGTGGGCTGGTTGTCTGCAGTGGATCAGACCGGGGCCCCGTGCAGCCTGGCCTGGAACGCCTCCAGGGATGGGGCACCCGTGGTTGAAGAGAGTGAGGACTTTGGTGCATGCCTGCCTCAAAGCGTGCGTGTCTGTGATTCAAAAATCAATTCAGTGGTGGTAAAATGGAGATTGCCATGTGCAGGCTGTGGTGACGTTGGTCACTCAGAGCTCCCAGCAAATGGTTAGTGCTGTCAGCCCTGGGCAGCTCAGTGTTGTCCTCGGCATTGGGCTTCTCTGTAAACAGCTTGAAACAACAGAGCTGTTTGTAAATGCTGCATTGTGAAGCTTGTTTTTTTTTCATACTTAAAGATTCTGCCTGGGCCTCCCTGAACAGTCACTGCTCTGTGTTTGCAGGGGCTCAGCGCTGCTTTCTTGTCAGCTATGGCAAAGCCTCAAAGCAAGGATTCGGGGCTGAAGGAGAAGTTCAAGAATCTCCTGGGGCTGGGATCATCCCGGGGAAGTTCAAAGTCATCAGAGGGCAAGCAAACGGAATTCATCATCACTGCAGAAATACTCAAGGTGTGAGAAATGTGTATAAAGGTGTAGTCCAGATTGCTTGGAAGGCAGAGGGCTCTCAGTCAGTTGTTCTGCTTTCTTTGTTGCCATGTGTTCCTGCCTTTTTACCTTATCTCTCAATTCACTCTCTAGTGAAATGCATGTAAAATTCATGGAGTAAGAAGTTACAGAGTTTTAATTAAGTGTTCAAATAGTTTTGAGATATTTTATAGGGTGATGTTATTCTCTGTTGTGACACATTACAGACTCAAAGTAAGTTCCTTTGCATTGATAGTCTGAGCTTGATGAAGTTTATGTAGTGGCAGTTAGTGCAAGCTGAAAACTATTTCTATTTTATGAAAGCTTAAATTTTTGTGGAAGAAAAACTCAGATAGTTCCAGTAATTGGTCTGGTGAGTCTGTAAACGGAATAGTTAGCAGACAGAGAGGGTGACATATAGAAGGGGGAAAGAGATTGGGATCTCTTACTGTCTGTGCTGAAGCAGCTGGACTTTTACCGGCTGGAAGCTGGAGAGAGACTTATGTCCGTCCTTTCCCTGCCTCCTGTGTGCTCAGTAAATGCCACTGTCAGAGTTATTAAATTTTCTGAAGAAAGAAATCAAGTTGTTCTGTCCTGGAGGTGAAAAGCTGCTTGGCTCCAGATCTGGGAAGGTTCTCGTTTTGGTGAATCATCATGTGCTCATGCAAAAATGTTGTTGGAGAGATTCCTGAAAAGTTCCAGTGATGATGACTAATAGATAATTTTGAGCAAATGTCTTAATTCCTTTTTCAATGGCCCTGTAACCCTTTGAGAAATGACTTACTGTTTCTAGAAAGATAAACTGTTGGCTTATTTCTGCATTTTATTCCAGGAACTGAGCATAGAATGTGGATTAAGTAATAGGATACGAGCAATCAGCCAAATCTGTGAAGTGGCAAAAACAAAAAAAATTGAAGAGGTAAGTTTCAAAGTGTTCAGTGAATGTTTGAAGCATAAAAAGTAAACAACAACTCTTAGCCTACCATAAGAAGTTCCTGTAGTTCAGACTGCCTTTTCAAATTGGTGATCCCAGAAGCTACATGTTGTGCTGTCCAAACCTGTAGTAAGATGGCTCACGTGCCAAGGAAATTAGTCTTGTTCAGTCTGCCAGCTGTGGTGGAGAGAGCATGTAGCTGTTGGGCTTTATGCATGAAATGGAAGGATAATGCTGTAAATATTTTGGTCTGATCAGGACAGTTAACAGGAGGTGATGTTAATCCTGCAGGGAGGGCGTTTACTGGCTTCCTGTCCTGTTAATAAGCTACTTCCAATTGGCTTTAAACTCACCGTGTGTTTGGGTGAAGGTTTCTGCACAAATGTCATGTGAATGAGGAACTTCAGTGACTGGGGTGCAGGTTGTCATACGGGCCAGGAACTGGTGTCTCACATCCTTCACCAGAGCTTATGACAGGCAGGTGGGAGTGTCCCTCAAAAGGAGAACTCTGGACGTGAAATCCTGAGGATCTTGTTTATTAACGTGCAGTAATTAGTGGCTGACCTGCTGGGTGAAGTTCCTAGAAGAAGCTTACCTTTCCTTATACTGCCTCTCACGTTTGTTTGCAGCATGCAGTGGAAGCAATATGGAAGGTGGTAGCTGATATGCTCCAGCCTGAGCGCCCAGCTGAAGCCAGACATGCTGTTCTTCATCTCCTAAAGTCAATCATTCAAGGGCAGGTGAAAGCAAACTATAGAAAAACCACTATACTTAAACTTGGATTTGTGTTGAGTATGAATGTGAAAAGATATTGGGCAGCCTTTTTCTACGACTTTCCACATTTCTTGTTTTGGTGCTTTAATTTAAATCCAGGCACAGTGCAGCAAACTTCATACAATCTTTGTCCAGACGTGTCAGTCCCAGTCTGCAGCAGTTTTTGACATTTCAGCATGTCAAAAGTGCAGCAAGTGCTCTACGAGATACTTTCCTAGTCTGGCCAAGTTAAGCATGCTGTGAATTCTTCAGATGTCACAGTGTGCTGTTCAAACATAAGACTGTATCAGACCAAAGTTTTACTTTGCTGTATCCTGTAAGGGTAGTGGGAGATGCTTAGGAAAAGAGTAAGCATCAATTCTGTTTCACTCTGTTTTATAAATGCTCTCTTGGCAGTGCTGTCAGTTGCGGTTTCTGTGGGTTGCTTTGTGTATTGGATGTTGTCTGTGTGGTGCTGGACAAAATAGCTTTCAAGTCCTGAATGCTGATAAAGAAATGTTAGAGCAGTCCTGTGCAATTGCCAGTAGAGACAGAGAGTTATTTTTATAGCCTGTAGAAAAATAAAATAATGTCAAGCATCGAGTTTATTGCTACAGCTTTTGGTCAGCTCTGGGCCTTCTTTAGTGACATTGTTATTTCTCCACCTTCTTCTCCTACCCCTACCCCCCTTCTTTTTTTCCTAAGGGTGAGAGATTAGGAATCCTTAGAGCACATTTTTTTAAAGTTATTAAGGACTATCCCTCCAATGAAGACTTGCACGAACGGCTTGAAGTGTTTAAGGCTCTAACAGAAAATGGACGATACATCACTTACTTAGAAGAAGAATTAGGTGAGTATTTATTCCTCTAAAGTTTGCCTGTAATAAGCCAAGTGAGAGGCATCCAGCAGTGTGAGAAAAAGGCAGTAGAGATAACGCTTCTGGACAGAAAGCTGACTGTAATGATTTGTTTGCTCCCTTCAGCTGACTTTGTGCTGCAATGGATGGATGTTGGTTTGTCTTCAGAGTTCCTTTTGGTTTTAGTGAATCTGGTGAAATTCAACAGCTGCTATCTGGAAGATTATGTAGCTGACATGGTCCAGTAAGTTTTTTTTTTACCCTTTAATTGTTTACAGGGCAAAGCTGCAGATTAATATGCAGATTAGTGGAATCTTTTTAATCTGATCTGGATCTCTTTTGTTCTGGGTCATATCTGACAATTCTGACAAATATTTGAGTTTTTTTACAATGTTCAGATCCATTTTAGTTTAAAATGCTGCATGTAATTTCCTCGTTTCATATGATGTCTGCTGTTTTATTAACAAAGGCATAATGAGAGGTTATTCAAGTGCAACTTTAAGCTAACAGTTTATAAAAGGTTGTACTGTCCAGTGTCCTTAGGAATGTTATAAAATGCCAAAGGGATCTGGGGAGAGTGACAAGAGAAAACTGCATGCCAATTTACTTTTTTGTTTTAGGTCTTTGTAATTTGCTTAAATCTATACTAAGCAAATAATTATAATTAAATGTTCTTTCTTAACAGCAAGATATGCATCTTGTGCATTCAGACTTCATCGTCTGTGGACATCGAGGTCAGTGGTTTGAGTCTGTCTTAATACTTCAGAGTTCTTTGAAATTCTTTGAAACCAAATCTGTTAGGAACAAAATCAGGTCATCAGACTCTCATCCCAGTTTATTCTCATCTTAGAAGAGAACTAATACAGTGTTATGAAGTGTTTGTAAGCCAGAATATCTCTTACAACAAAACTAATTTTATTCCAAAAGAAGCAGAGCATGCATAAGTTTGTTAAGCAAATTTTTAACAGTGGTTTTTATGGGTTACTTTTATCCTGCATGAAAAAAAAAAAAACAGAAGAAGAAAGATGTATCTCAGTCTTTATTAACTTCCACAAGGTTTCCTGCGCCTGTCAGCCTAGGATTTAACCTGCTTTATTCCTAAGGAAGTGTGTAACCATGTTATCTTTCTCTCTCGAAGATTTCCTTGCAAGTTTTAGATGCTGTTGTTTGCTATAACTGCCTGCCATCAGAGAACCTGCCAGTATTTATTATCACGTTGTGCCGCACCATCAATGTGAAGGAACTCTGTGAGCCATGCTGGAAGGTCAGAACTTTTAATGAGTTCACTGTTTCTTCCTCGCAGATGAAGAGCTACATACCTGTGAACATATGTCATGCTTCTAAAAACAAACCAGAAATTAAATTGCTTCAAGCATTAGGGGCT